CACGTCTTTCTAGGATTTTCCACTTAGCAAGAGGCCGTGTGGAGGAGGGGAAGAGAAACTCTCTGTTTTTACCCTCTGCGTCATCTTGAATAGCTACTTCTCTCTCTCTCTCTCTCTCTAGGCCTCAGTGTCCCCCTTCGATTTCTGGAGTGCGTTTGCTTATTCATTATTCATGCATGCATGCATGCTTATTAAGCACTTACCATGTTCTAGGGAAAAAGGAATGAATAAGGCAGAGACCATCCTTGTCCTCCTGAAGGGGGGAATATTATCCACTTAAATAAGATAAGCACATATCCAATTATCCCTTTTCTTCCCCTCCAATGATTTTTTTAGCCCCCCATTGCCTCGTACTAAACCTTCAGGGTCCCCCAAGTGACCAGAGAGGGAGTGCTCTGCCAACCGTGCCTAACTACTCTGAAACAGGGCTGCACCCCCCTCACCCCACGCTTTTGCTCTGGTCCTTTGATTCCACACGTGAGGCTGACCACAACTGGATGAGGACATGGGGCAGGGGCATTGTTCCAGGGAGCAACTGTTCAGATGAGCAAGCTGAGAGTCAGAAACATCAAGAATCCTTGTCCTTGATCACATAGGGGATTATTGGAATAACCAATACTGAGCACTTACTGTGTGCAGGCACTTAAAAAAAAAAAAAGTGCCTCATAACAACCCAGTTAGGTAGGTAAAGAATTTTTTTACTGGACTCACATTGAGCAGGTAAAGGTAGGTATTCTTATACCCATTTTATAGATGACAAAATTGAGGCTAAAAGAAGTTATTTAACTGGCCAGTGATGATGCATATAGTAGGTGGTGAAGCTGGGATTTGAACCAAATCTGCCTGGCTCCAAAGCCTGAGCTCCTTCCGAGAAATGGATGTGTTCACAAAAGAGTAAAAGACTCTCTGAGTGGCTGAAACTTGGAAATACGGCTTGAAGCGCCCTTCAAAATCTCCCAGTCCCAGCATCTTATTATTTTTCTACTGAAGTTCTTGGCCTACTAGACTCTTAAAACCTGATGAGTTGACCACACTAATCAGTATGGTTAACTCGGTTATCTATCCATCTATCTGGGATAACCTTGCCTTTGAACTTTTATTGGGTAATTAACTTAAGTAGTTCTTCCCTGGGAGCATCTCCATAATCCTCAGGTTTTTCTTGTCCTTTGTTCACATATCAGACAAACACTAAGCACCCACCAAGTGTTGTGGGAGGCTTGGTGGGTGAAAGGGGTATGGCCCATGTCTTCCCTGGAGGAGTTTCCAGCCTACAGGGAAAGTGTCCGAAGGGTCTTCTATGGGCAAAGCACAGTGACAGGCCATTGAGAGGGAGGAGGAAGACCACAACGACCAGCCCTCAAAGAATCTCCTTCTCTGACAGAAGCGGGTGTGGTGGTGTGAGCTGGGCTGGGCATAGCCAACCTGGGGTTCCCCGATCAGGATGCCTCGGACCTGCAGTGCTGCTCCTAAATCCCACCTTGCTGCGGTCTGTGTGGGCCACTGGCAGCCTGCAGCGTGGAAGGAGGGCTTTAAATTGGAGAAGATGCTGGAAAGTATGGAGATGCATAAAGAAGGAGGCTAAATTTATCCCTCCTCCCAGCACCCAGCAATTGCTGCGCTTAACACTTCACTTTCTACCAACATAGACTTGTTTAACCAGAAGATTAGTTGCTTCTCTCCCAAGTGGAAAAAGGAAGAGTGAGAAGAGAGAGAGGAAGAGAGAGGAGAGGCACAGCCAAACAGACAGAGACAAAGAGAGACACAGGGAAGACAGAGACTTTGAGGAGAGACTCACTTGTATACAGAGACCTGGAGAGAAGAAAGGAAGATGCAGACAGAGATAAAGGCAGCCTTTGGTTTGGGGCTCCAGTGAGCAGCAGGAAAGAATTTTAAACTGAGCACCAGACTAGGAGAAATCAGACTCTTTTGCCCCCTCGCTTCCCGGCTGCATGGCTGGCTCGAGCATCGCTAATTTCCAGATAGTGCCATTTTCAGATGTGAGCACACTGGGAAGGTCGATACTGTTTCCATTGTCTTGTCACTGCTTTGTCCCTGTCACCCACCCCCACTCCTGAATGACAGAGAATTGACTGTAGATGAATGCTATATATATACCAAAGCCGCGATTAAAATAAGTGTTACAAGACTTTAAATATGCATACCTTTGACCTAGCATTCTCACTTCTAGGAATTTATCCTAAGGGGAATAATTAAGGACATGGGCAAAGAATATAGCATGAGATTGTTCATTGCACCATTATTTAGAAAAGCAAGGGAACAAACAAGAAAGGAAACAAACCAAATAGCCAACCCCTACTGGGGACCTGATCAATAATAATGGTATAACTTTAAAATAGCTTTCCATGCTGCTTTTAAAATTGGGTTATAAATGGACATTTATTGAACTGGAAAGATATTCATGATACATTAGGTGAAAAAAGCAAGTTATAAATAGTGTATATAGTATGACTCTCTTTAAGTAAGAATAAAAATAAAATATATAATCTAGGAAGACATACCAATGTTAGTCTCTGGGTGGTGGGATTATGAGACACTTTATTTTTTTCCCTTTTTGCTTATCTACATTAAAGACATTTCCCCCCACAGTGAGCATGTGTGATCTATGAACAAATTTCCTTGCATCTGTCCAGAGATGCCTCCTGCTGGGAGTCCAGGAGTGCTTGGGCAATCTGGATCATGTGCCCCTGGCTGCAAAGCATCATGGGAAAAGCCACTGACCCCCCATGGAGCGTTAAGCTATTCATTAAGAATTCCAGGCTGGAGCAGTGCTCACACCTATAATCCTAGTACTCTGGGAGTCTGAGGTGGGTGGATCGCTCAAGGTGAGGAGTTCGAAACCAGCCTTAGCAAGAGCAAGACCCTGTCTCTACTAAAAATAGAAAGAAAAATTAATTCGCCAATAAAAATATATAGAGAAAAAATTAGCCGGGCATGGTGGTGCATGGAGACAGAAGGATTGCTTGAGCCCAGGAGTTTGAGGTTGCTGTGAATTAGGCTGACAACACAGCACTCTAGCCCAGGCAACACAGTAAGACTCTGTCTCAAAAAAAAAAAAAGAATTTCAGAAGCAGCGTGTCCCCACCCTGGTTAGATTCCTCATCCCTGTTGGTCTTATCCAGTTGGTCTTATGGGTAAGACCTCAGTGACCCAGCATCTTGGCATCCAAATGCTTCATAACCTGAAGGAAAACATGACATGTATGTTCATGTCAGCACGTGGTAAAGCCAACCGTGCTAAAACTGCAGGGCCTTCCCCCTGCCAGGAGCACCCTGCCCTCTAAGAGGGTGACAGAGAAGATGCTCTGTTTCTCAGGTCTGTCCTACTACACACATGCAGGTGTGATTCTGAATGTTGGCAAGGAAAGGCCGTCACCATGGCAACCCGGCTCACTCAGCCTCTTCATCCCTGGGATGAGTCCAACACCCAGGGAGAGAAGATGGGGTTTGGAGTCAGAAAAATCACTGCCTGGCCATGTGATCTCCGGCAAAACACTTAGCTTTTTCTCTGCCTCAGTGTCCACATCTGAAAAATGGTCCTGAAGCTCCTTATCTCGTGCACCTCTAAGACCAGTGTGCACTAATCTGTGAACCATAAAGCATAAGAGGAGTAGAGCATACCTAGTTTTGGTTTGTCCCCAAATTTCTGTGTGTGACTTTGGGTAGATCACTTAACCTCTCTGTGCCTCAGCTGCTCTATTATAAATAAGAGAGGAAGGTACACAGTGATGACTTCCAAGGTAAACTGTGAGGTGCCGGTGAGAATCCCAGAATCTCAAAGCGGGAAGGAATCTTAGCCCTCACCACCCACGTGGGAATCCCTTTGATAAGCTCTCCAACAGAGATACTTGTCCAGCCTCTGCTTGTTTACCTCCTGCGGCAGAGAGCTCACGACTGCACGGCTTCCCAGGTAGCCAGTGCTACCTGGCACTCACTGTAACAAAGTTCTTCCATATAGGGAGGGTGTTTTACAATTACATATCTGGTTAAAGAATGTAGCATGCCTTTACAGAGCTATTTCCACTCCCGATTTCCCAGGGGGCTTGCACAGGGTAGAAATGAGCAGCCATCCACAAAAAGCAGAGGCGGGCTTGGCTCTGGAAGCAGCTTAGGCTTAGTGCAGTAGAAGGAGCCTGGGTTCTGGGGTCTCACATCCTTGGTTAAAATCCCACTTTGTCCACTTGCCCGCTGACCCTGGGCAAGTTATATTACCTGCCTGAGCCTCAGTTTCCCTATCAGTAAAATGAAGCTAGAAATACCTACCTCACAGTGTTGGTGTGAGACTTAAGCAAGTTAGCACTTTGCATTAAGCTTACAACCCAGACTTCCCTGGCGGGATCTGGGCACTTTGGGTGGGGAAGGTTACGCCCTCTCTGCCAGCCTGAATAGCACATCCGCCCACGGAGCACCCGGCGCGTGAGCCTTGTGTACTCCTTCAGGGCCGTCCCCCTCTCAGCCCTGTGCCAGGGGCCATGAAAGAAAGGTGACGTAATGGCTTCAAGACAAAGTTCACCTCCTCCTGGCAATTCACCTGCCTCAAGGCCAACACCCCTCCCTGCCCACAGACTTAGTGGGCGCCAGGCAAGTGTCCCAGGGTGTCATTTGGTAACGACTTTCAACTGTGTCAGTGTTTCAATAGGAATCTCATATAGGCCCCCCAAACGTGTGGTCTGGCAGTGGGCTTCCAGGCATGGTGACAGGAAGTCAGGGAAAGCTATCTTGGGGTGGGAAAGTGTTCCTTTAACCACTGATGTGAGAGTGCCTGTCGTGCAGCCACTCCTGGACAGGGAGTCAGGACGTCCGCGCGGCCATCGCCCAGCCGCGGGCTCTCTGGAGCCAGCGACTCCGTTCTTCAGCGCCGCGCTTCCCCCAGGTGCGAATGGCAGGCTGATTGCGGGGACCTCGCAGGCTTCAGAACTCTGGTTCCCCATTTGTCGGGTGCAGGATGAGAAGGCGAAGTCGCCCTAGGCCCACTGGCCCCTGGTGCCACCGACCACCCTCCTCTCCGCTCCCTCCGCAGACGAGTACCTCAGGGTCCTCAACGTGGGCGTGGCCGAGGTGAAGAAATCCTTCCTGGGGCCCTTGTCTCCGTCCTGCAAGATGGTGCAGATGATGCGGCAGTTTCTGTACCAGGTCCTGCCCGAGGACTCCTACAAGGCCACCACGGGGAAGCTCCACGTGAGCCTCACCCGCTTCACGGACGGAGAGAGTGTCGTGGTTTCAGAGTACACGTCCAAGGAAGAGCTCATCGAGGCAAGGGGCTGGGCCTGGGGAGGGGACGCTGGGTGGGGGGCGGATGGGGGCTGCACCTGCTCTCAGGACAGCCTGGGACGGGCCACCTGTCCGCCACGGTTGCCTGGTCCTCCCTTCCTTCGTGCTCTGCATCTCTCTGTGCCAGGCGCAGCATTAGATGAGATGGGCACAGAGAAGCCTAAGACAAAGCAAACCTGGTCACTGTCCTCAACATTTCAACACCCAGAGTGCCCAGGGCTCAGCCCCTGCTCGCGCAGGTGTCCTGCCCACCCTCTGTGCTGACCCTGCAGCTTCTCAGAGGCCTGGGTGCAGCCCACAGAGGCCCGTGGCTCCCTTAGGGCCTCCCAGCCTGGGTTGCAGTGAGTCCTCCCTGCATTACTCCCAGTTTGGGGGGACCGTCAGGTGACACGGGCCTTTCTGCCCCCTTTTCCAGTGGCCCTTGATAAAAGATTGAATTATCACTAAATCAGTTATTTAGAAAAGTGCATGCTAACCCAACAGTGACTGTTCTAAGCTCATTTCTAGAAGTTTTATCTGTGCATTATAACACAATTGCCAGGGACAGGCCCAATTTCCTTTCAGGACAACGGGATTAAGCTGCATGGACCTCCCCTCCTCCAAATACAGAGCCTTTGCCACCCCATCCCCAACCCCACACTGGCCTGGCCATGGTCCTGGGGGCGGGAGATGAACAGGCAGTGGGCTGGACGCCCCTCCACACGCCTATGGCCCCCGGGTTCATTAGCACCCTGATATTCAGATCTGCCTCCTCCCACCCACCCGAGTCCTGACTTCACCTCCCACTGCGGCAGTTCTCTCCCCAGCCCTGTCCCCGCACCGCCCACTCCCACCAGGCCACCATACACACCTCACACACACTGGCCTGGGTCCCTCCCTCCCTCCCTCTCCCCTGCTCCTGCTGGTGGAACTCTGGGCACTCCTGTCCCGCCTCACCCTGGGACCACAATTGCCCATGTCACCTCCATCAAAGCACCTGTCACCCCATTGTACTGTCATCTCTTTACTTGCTCCCCCTCTTTGACAATTCCCAAGGCCTGGCCTTCAACTCCAGGGCCTGGCCTGGTGGCGCATGCCTGTAGTTCCAGCTACTCAGGAGGCTGAGGCAGGAGGATCACTTGAGCCCAGGAGTTTGAGGTTGCTGTGAGCTAGGACGCCATGGCACTCTAGCCCAGACAACAGAGTGAGACTCTCTCAAAAAAAAAAAAAAAAAAGGGACCTTGGAGATATTGGGGCCACACTCTCTGTTTAAAGTTCAGACGTCAGGCCCAGACTGACCAAGCAGGCCCAGCTGGTGAGGGCCGGGCCCGGAATGGAACTTGCTCCTCAGGGTGGTGGCTTTGCCATGGGTTTAAGGAGGTCCAGCTTGCTGGTGTGTGGTCAAGGGTGGACAAGTAAGTCGTCCCCACCCAGCCAGCCTCCACCTCTCAGGCCTGTCCCTCCCACAGGCCTTGTACTGCAGCTGCTTCGTCCCCGTGTACTGTGGCCTCATCCCCCCGACCTACCGCGGCGTGGTGAGTACTCTCTCGTGGTGAGGGCATGAGCTGGGATCCTGGGGCACCTGGGGGTCCCTGTAACGCACAACTGGGAGAGCTGAGGGGTGGTCTCAGAATGCAGTGGGAGGCCCCAGAGCTAGAAAGTTTCTCTCTTTTTTTTTTAAACTCAGAATTCCCAATGTGGGTGGATTTGGGGGGCTTTAAGTGAACTTCCCCAGCTAGTTGGGCTTCTCTCTGGACCCACCAACCCATCACAGAACTCCGCAAATCAAGGCTGCGCATGCTTATCTGATTGTCCCAGTCTCGACAGACAGTGTAGAACGCTGGCCCCGAGTGCTGGGACCCAGAGCCTGAAGGATGAGGATATTTGAGACCTTCTAGGCCAGTGCCTCACAGACTTTAGTGTCCCAGGAATCTCCGGGGCTGTAACATAATGCAGATGCGGACCCAGCCGGTCTGGAGCTGAGATTGTGCAGCTCCAACCAGCCTCAGGTTGCGCCTGTGCCGTGGGCGCACGGGCCACGCTCGGCAGCGGGGGTCTAACCCACACCCCTCCTCATTTCGTGTACACAGAGGATAGGGCCCAGAGATTAGCATTCGCGTAGGAGATGGAGCCCACGTCGCAGGTCAGCGGGTGACCCTCAGGCACCCCTAGAGTTAGAGTGTTTGCTGTCCTTTGTTCTTAGGCGAGGATGTGAAGCCCCAGGAAGGGAAGGGCCCTGCGGGTGGACATGCGGTGAGGCTGTGGCAGGGAAGCATGGTCCCCCACAGAGCCCCGGGAGCCCCGCTCTCAGCACCATTAAGTGCTGGGGGGCAGTGCAGGAACAGAGCACTGGGCTGGGAGTCCAGAAGCCAGCGTGGACTCACCAAGTGGCCTTGGGCACACCACTCACCCACCAGAAGCCCAGTCTCAAGGCTCATGCTGAAGGGTCTTCTGTCCCTGCTGTCCCTTGATGTGCTCCCTAAGTGGGGACAAGACCTCCGACCCCAGGTGAGCATCTGTCACGCCGCCCCTCACAGAGGTACATCGACGGGGGCTTCACCGGCATGCAGCCCTGCTCCTTCTGGACCGACTGCATCACCATCTCCACCTTCAGTGGGCAGCAGGACATCTGCCCCCGGGACTGTCCCGCCATCTTCAACGACTTCCGCATGTTCAACTGCTCCTTCCAGTTCTCCCTGGAGAACATCGCCAGGATGACCCATGCACTGTTCCCGCCGGACCTGCTGGTGAGAGGCAGGAGGGGCCTGGGAGATGGGAAGTGGGTGAAGTGACAGGGCCTGGGGCTGGGGTCAGGGAGCCGGTTGGCTCCACTCAAGTTCCATCTGTGTCTCCTCCCCTCAATGACCCCTTAAACCTCCTCCCAGACCAGCATCCTGGCCCGGCTGCTAGCTAGCTATGTGACCTTCAGCAAGTCCCCTAAGCTCTCCCAGCTTCAATTTCCTCCCCTGTTAAATGAGGTGGTGTCAGAACCACTGATAGATGTTCCCTGAAGCCTTCTACCCTGACAGTCAATGTACCAGAGAAGGGTCAGCAAACTGCAGCCCACGGGCCACATCCAGCCTATGGCTTTTTTTTGTGCAGCCTGTAAGCTTAGGATGGGTTTTCCATTTTTAAAGAGTTGTAAAAAAAAAAAAAATGAAGAAGAGGAAGAAATAGAAGAACATATGTCAGAGACTCTACATGGCCAGCAAAGTCCCAAATACTTTTTGTCTGGCCCTTTACAGAAAAGGCTTCCTAGGCAATATCTCATGCGATCCTCCGGCATCCTCTGAGATAGGTGATATTACTGCCCCCATTTTACAGGTGGAAAAATTGAGGCTGTGAGAGGTTACATCCAGAGCCCAGATCTGAGCACAGACTCCAAACCCGGCTCTTCCTGTGGCCTGACGCGCCTTTTCTGGTTCCGCCATAAAACCTCACCCTCTCCCGCCAGGGGAGGCTGCGGACCAGCTGGGGATGGTGCTGCTCGTTAATGCAGCTCTCCTGGGGCGTGGGACCAGAAACTGCTGCCCAGTTCTTCTTAGCAGACAGTGAGGGAGGGGACACTGGATGGGACGTTTTGGAGAGCCCATCAAACAGAGTTCAGAGCAGCGAAGTCGCGGCTCTGGGTGGGGCGCCGGGGCTGGCCGCCGCTGCAGCCGCGTTCTCCCGCCCCCTCAGATGCTGCACGATTACTACTACCGAGGCTACGACGACACGGTCCTGTACTTGAGGCGGCTGAGTAAGTACCGGGGGAGCCGGACCGGAAGGGCCGGCCAGGGGCAGGACCGGAAGTGGAAGGGCTGGGTGGAGGGGCAGTCTGTGACTTGGAGACCCGGGACGGCGGGAAGCGGGGCGCGGGCCCGACGGCCGCATGGCCCGCCCGCGCCGTCGGCCCCGAAATGAGGACTCCGTGGAAAGGGGCTTCGGGGTTAGCCGTCGGCTCCGTGTCTGGGGCGTGCGTGCTCGCGTATTGATGAACCTAGAAACTCTGTTTACCAAGTGTGTGGTCCCGTTCTTCCCGGGGAATCCCATTTTGACGCCATTCCCGCTCTCTTCTACTGTGCTCTCTTTCCAATAAAACCGCACTGTCCCTGAGGAACTGCACGTGACTAGCTCGCGGCGGGTAAGACGCTGAGTGACACCCTGGCCAACAAATCCGAGGGAGAGCTCCGCCCCGCGCCGGCGGGAGGCGGCGCCTGCTGCGAGCGCCGGGCGGGACCGGCGAGCGCCTCGCCGAGGGGAGTGGGCGGGAGCTTTGCCGTGTGGAGAATCCATTCCTTAGGGCGTATTTCAGAGCAAGGGATTGTTAGATCAGCGTGCTGACCCCGAGCTGTCTCTGAAGCCGCGTGGTCCGTGGGACAGGCCCGCTGGCCGTAGCGGCCCGTCCCCAGTGCGCGGCTCGCGTGGCTGGCTGCTCCCCGGGTTCCAGATGTCGCCTATTGCAGGCAAGGCTGTGGGGACCTGTGTGTGCACGTAGCTTCAGACAGCACTGTCGGGGCGAGATGGAGGGGCTGCATGAGATCTTCCTTCCTAGGAGGGGTCTACCTTTCTTCTTCAGAATTGCTTCTGGCGTTCCCAAACGCCCCTTCTCCTGTGCCTTTACTTTCTCCCAGTCCTCCTCCGGGTCGCGGGCTGGGGCCGGAGAGCCGGGAGCGGGCTGGGGAGAACGTGGGCTCTGGGGCAAGGCGCCCTGGGCCCCACCCCCCCCAGTGGTGCAACCTTAGGAAAATTCCTTCTGCATTCTGAGTCTTGGTTTCCTAATCTACAAAAAAGGGTTTGGATCTTAGTTCCTAACATCTACTCACTTGAGCCTCAGTTGATGGCCTCAGTTTCCTCAGCTGTAAAAGGGGGCTAACCGTGGAACCCACCTCGGTTTTGTTGTGAGGGTCAAGCAGCGAAGCCACATAAAGTCCTTAGCACGGTGCTCAGCACGTGCTGCTGGAGATGCAACAGCAGCGTGGGTGCTGGCCGGCTCAGTCCTGGCCCGGTCAGTCCAGCGCAGCGATGGATGGAGCCCACCCCAGACCTCGGGCAGTGCGTGCAGCATGGCAGCTTCTCCCACGGCCCTGAAATCACTCCAAGTAGGAGCAGGTACAACTCACGAGGAAGAAAATGGCTGGTGCTGCCTACCAGCTATTTCTGCCTCTTCCCGCTTGCCAGCGTGTGCACAGCTTTCTCGGCGCAGGCGGCGCTTCTGCCACCTAAATCCTCTGGGATTCGATGGGCTGGGTTTTCTCCCTGCATCACACTTGCACAGGACTACTGTCACATACTGAGAAACTGCGGGTGGTGCCCAGAGCCACACTCGTCCCCACCTGCCTTCAGGGAACTAAAACAGGAGTCCGTCCTGGCCGCCGCCTGCCCGATTTCTGGATGGGGGGATCTCCGGCAGGAAGCTGCACCCGCAAAAGGTGTCACCCTCACCTCCTCAACTCAGGTTCTCAAAACCTCTTCCTCCTCCCTCCTGAGGCCTCGCATTCACCTAATTATTCCAGCGGCCAGGAAAGCCACCCTCTCTGCACTTGGCCTCCCCTGGCAGCAGCCTCCTGCCAAAGGGAAGGGCGCCGAAAGTTGGCGTGCTTGGAAACCCACGTTCCCCACAGTGTGTGTGTGGGGGGGGGTGTTACGTGAGGGTGGCGCTCAGAGGATGCAGTGTCTAAAACAGCTGCCCGGCATCCAACCCTGTGGTGCTGTCCAGACCTTCCTCCCTCCCTCCTCCTACCCTCCTTTGTCTCTTCCCTCCTTCCTTTCCTCCTCCTCACAATTTGACAAATTTCCTGTCTCTCTCCCCCTGTAACACGATTATGATGATCAAGACAGTAAATACCCCATCGTCCCCAGAGTCCCTCATGCCTTTTTATGATCCCTCCCACCTTCCTTCACCCCCATTCCCGGGCAATCCCTGATCTGATTTCTGTCATCATAGATTAAGCCACATTTTTGGACTTTTTGATAAATAGAAACTTACAATGTGAACTCTTTCATTCTGCAATTAGTCTAAGATTCATTCATGTTACTGCATGTATACATAGTTCATTCCTTTTTTCATTCCATGCCATTGTAGGAATATACCATAACTCATTTATCCACTCACCTGTTGTTTCCAGATTTGGGCCATTATGAATAAAGCTGGTGTGAACACTCATTCATAAGTGTTTGTATGGACACGTGCTGTCATTTCTCTTGGTAAACACCAGGAGTGGAATGACTGGATTGTATGGTATGTGTATGTGTATATTTAAATATGTACATAAATATTTTAATTGTGGTAAAAAAAACACATACCATAAAATTTACCATCTTAGCCATTTTTAAGTGCACAGTTCAGGAGTGTTAACTATATTTGTATTGCTATGCAACAGATCTCTAGAACTTTTTCATCTTGCAAAACTGAAACTCTAGACCCATTGGTCAACAAGCTTTTCTCCCCCTCCAGCCCTAGCAACCCTCGTTCTACTTTCTATTTCTAGGAGTTTGATTACTTTAGATACTTCATATAAATAGAATTACATAGTATGTTTTGTGTCTAGCTTATTTCACTTAGCATAATGTCCTCAAGGTTCATCCATGTTGTAGCATTTGAAAGGATTTTCTTCTTTTTTAAGGCTGAATAATGTTCCACTGTGTGTACAGATTACAGGTTCTTTCTCCATTCATCCATTGAAGGACACTTGAGTGGCCTCCACCCTTGGGCTATTGTGAATAATACTGCAGTAAACATGGGTGTGTACATCTCTCTTTGAGATCCTATTTTCAATCCTTTTTAATATATAACCAGAATGTATATTTGACTTTTTAAGAAACTTCCAAATTGTTTTCCAAAGTGGTTGTACCATTTTACATTCCTACCAGCAGTGGAAGAGATTTCAATTTCTCCAAATTCTCACCAACACTTAGTATGCTCAGTCTTTTTAATTTTAGCCATTCTAATAGGTGTGTGGTTGAATCTTTCAAGGTTTTAATCTGCATTTCCCTAAGGACTAATGATGTTGACCATGTTTTCATTTGCATATTTGCCATCCATATATCTTCTTTGCTGAAGTATCTTTCCACTCTTTTGCCCATGTCCCCCCAGACCTTTAATAAACTTAGTTTTTTAGAATAGTTTTAGATTTATGGAAAAATTACAAAAACAGTTTAGGTCAGGGCATTTCCATGTACTCTACACCCAGTTTCCCCTATTAATAATGTCTCACATTTGTTAGACATTATAGTGTGGTACACATATAATATGGTACATAGTACAGTACAGTTGTTACAATTAATGAACCAGTATTGATATATTATTATTAATAAAGACCATGGTTTATTAGCTTTCCTTAGTTTTTACCTAATATCCTTTTTCTGTCCAAGATCCCATCCAGACACATTATATTTTATTTATTTATTAAACCACAGATAGTCAAGTCAAACCACATTCCATGTAGTTATCATGTCTCCTTAGGCTCCTCTTGGTCATGACATTTTCCCCAGACTTTTCTTGTTTTTCATGACCCAGACAGATTTGACTCCTGGTCAGGTATTTTGTAGATATCCTCACTGGGTTTGTCTGATGTTTTTCTCATGATTAGCCTGGGGTTTTGGGTGTTTGGGAGGAAGGTCACAGAGATAAAATGCCATTCTCATCACGTCATACCAAGGGCACATGCTATCAACATGACTTATCCCTGTTGATGAGGACCTTGATCACCTGGTGGAGGGAGTGTTTGTCAGGTTTCTCCATTGTGAAGCTACTCTCTTATCCCTCCATCCCTACCATAGTCTTGCAGTCCACACTTAAGGAGTGAGGAGTTATGCTCCACTTCCTTAAGGGCCAACTATCTAAGTAAATTATTTGGAATTCTTCTGCACGGAAGGTTTCTCTCCTTTTGATTTGTTTACTTATTAAATCATTTGTTTAGTGCTCGCTTCGGCAGCACATATACTAAATTGGAAACTGATACAGATGGAAGATCAGCATGGCCCTGCGCGCCCGGAAGGATGACAGCAATTCGTGAAGCAGTTTCGCATATTTACAAAAAAAAAGATCATTTGTTAGTATCATGTATGGACTCGATGGATTAGGTTATTTTAATTTTAATTTTTTTGTTTTTTTTTGAGTCAGGAGTCTCACTCTGTCACCCAGGCTGGAGTGCAGTGGTGCAATCATAGCTCACTGCAACCTCAAACCCCTGGGTTCAAGTGATCCTCCTTCCTCAGCCTCCCGAGTAGCTAGGACTACAGGTGTGCAACACCACATCTGGCTAATTTTTAAAAAATTTTTTGTAGAAAAGAGGTCTCACTGTGTTGCCCAGGCTGATCTCAAACTGTTGGCCTCAAGTAATCCTCCTGCCTCAGCCTCTCAAAGTGTTAGGATTATAGGCGTGAGTCACTGCACTTAGCCAGTTATTTTATACTTTGGGTTATTATTCAATACTACTTTGTTTATTTTGTTCCTCAGATTGTTCAAGCTATAGCCACTGGAATCCCTTTCAGTTGGCTCTTTTATCCCTTTTAAAAATTGAATCGTTTGCTTTCTTACTTAAAAGATTTTATGTAATCTAGATCAGGGACGGGGAACCTTTTCATGTCGGAAGCTGCATTAATTCAGCTGTAATCAAATAAGGCCACATTCAAGAAACTTCAATTAGGTATGCTTAAAAATGTATATTATTTTATAAAAATCTAACTACTATGTACCGAATAATTTCAAAAAAATGAAAGCTATTTGTCAATGTTAAATTTAACTAACCTTTTAAT